ACCAGAACCAAGGTGTAGCTGCAGACATGACTTTTAGTGATCCCACCAACACTAATGAGTTATGTCAGGGATGTGGGTGATGATCAGATTTCCTCTGACATTAACTTTTAGCCATAGCTGAAATCAATAAAGCAATAGTATCATCCAGTGAGGTGTGTTGGCTTGGAGTTAACATGTAAACACCTGATAATTTGTTTTCCCATATTCAGTACTTTTTAATGTTCATTCAGCTAGAAGATAAAATAAAAACACAAGAGGAGGCATTTGTCTTCGACACAAAATCTTACAAAAAGTCTTTTTTTATTAAATATACATTACTTACAGTTTAAGTCTTTCTTCTGTACAACAGTAACCATAGAAAACAAAAGAAGCTAAGGCTAAATTTTTTCAATCCCTTAACAGGGTATTAAGACATGTTACATTGTCTACAAAACTGACTTAGACTGAGGCAACGTCCTGTGGAATTCTCTTTAGAAAACCAGATAGTGAAAGGGGAATAATCTAAATCTCCATTTTGCTTTTTACTGTAACTGAGAGACTCTTGCTTTACCCTTGGACAAATCATTAAAAAAAGTTCTTTTTTTTTTGCTTTGCTAATAAAATGAACAGAGCTCTGAGAGATTTATTTAATAAAATTTGAGTAGAACAAAGTAAAATGAATGATGAAGGGCTCATCTGTAGAAAGAACCAATTTTTTATTATTACAAATACTTAATCTCAGCTGCCATTTTGCTCTTTTATTTTTCCTTTTAGGGTGCCTTTATCCATTAAAATTCCATACAATCCTTCCAGTGTTAGTGTGCTGGCTCCTTAATTGGTTGACAAGACACTACCCACAGACCAACCTTCCAAAACCACAAATTTTAGAAACTCCTGAAGGTGACTTAGCCATATCATGGGCTTTGTGGAGCTGAATTTCATTTCCTTATCCCAAATTTTATCTATAGTTCTGCTAGAAAACAATACAACTTCAGTTAATGCAGCTCTCGTTGACAGCAGTAAGGGATGACAAACATGAGGTCCTGACTTGGATTCATGTATGTCAGCCCCAGTTTGCAGGAGATCATCAAAGCAAGAGCTATATGAGGCTAAATTCATCTGTGATGTATCTACATTGACCTAAATAGAATTACAACCAGGTCTAAAGCTGTCTCTTGTTGCTTTCACAAAGCGGGTTTCAAAGCAGGTCAGGCACGACAATGTTAAGGTTCTCATTATCATTTAGATATGGTCTGTGTTACAGATTTCACTTGCAAAAATCACAGAGTAGAGATTTTTATGACTGGATGTCTGAATTAAAAAAAATGCACCTGCTTGCTCTCTTTAGCATCTGAAATTTCAATTCCACTGTGTTGTGAATGGAAAGTGAGGCTGTGACTGGCTGTATCTAAGCTTTACCTAAGGAACACCCCTTCTTTCTTGACAATACGGGTACTGCACTGGCAGCAATGACAAAACACATCAGGAAAGGATGTGCCTAAAGGACACAAGAAGGAGGTGTAAAGGGCATGCAGAAATGAGTAAATAATTTCCCATGCAGAATTAGTTCCAAATGGACTCTATTTAGGGCTGTGGGATTGAAATTTCTGAAGAGAGTTATGACTAGCATGTCAAAAAGTAAGTAGCGTTGCAATGTGAACAGCAGTCAGTAGGTTAGAAAAAAGCTGCCATAAGCATGTTAAACAAGGGAGTGGAGAGTCTCTAGGCAAACACCATTCTTTGGATCACCTGCTGTGCCTAACATTTCATTAAATGTTATGATTGAGGGAAGCCATCCCCAGTTCTTCTTTGGGCTAGCCAGGAGAGTTCCAGCAATCTAACTGGGGAGATTTGGATCTGGTATCAGCCAGAGCTTCGAAATCCTCTCCCGTGTTTGAAGTATCTCTCATACTTTACAGATCATCAGGACAACTACGACTATGTTTTGGCAGACTAAGTAGCAGAAATCCATTCCATGGCAAAAAAAAAAAACTACCACAGAAAAATACCTGAAAGCCTCACATCCACTTGATGGTTACCATGCACGGCTTCAAACTGTGCATGTTTTCCAAGAGCTTTTGCCTCCTTCACTGCCCCATCACAATGGTAGTTTGAAGTATTAATGTCCTCTTTCCCCCTTAGATGTCAGCACCTCTAGGTGACTATATCTCCACGATGGAGTGCAGTCTCCCTTCTGGTTGAACACCCAGCTGACATTTTGGTTTCTGTGACTGCCAGGAGAAAAATCATAGTCTTAATTTGAATTGTGAAAAAAGCTCCTCTGACTCCTACCAGCAATTTGATAGCTCCACATGTTAAAAAAAAAAAAAAAAGGAGGGATGAAGAAAACAGAGGTGAACTAGATATGAAGTGACACTGTCAACACAAATTGTTGCCTTAATCCTTCCTTAGCTCGGCTTGTAGACTCGGCACATTACAAACAACAAACAACGAGCTTACAAATTACAAGAGTTCACCAGAAAGTGTGCTTTTTTCCCAATTTTTGTTTTTGTCATAGTAACTTAGTGCAAAAGATCACAAAAATAAGCACCAATACACTGAAATATTCAAACTCTCTATATGCATGTCTTGAAATAAACAGTCAAAGAAAAAAAGCTACTTCAGACCCAAAGAAGAATGTGTTTAGAAATTTCATGTACAAAACTAGCAGGGAGGAGGGGGCCGCCCACACTGAAAGAGGACATGAAGAACTTTCCACTGGGAAAGAAAGTGCAGCCAACTGCAGAACCCAAGGGAACAAATCATGCTTTGAAGCTGTGATGGCAACCTGTGAAGAAAACCCCAAAAAACTTCAAGGGCATGGTGCAACTTGAACTGTAGTCAAGCAAGAGGCCTCCCACCAACCTCTAAAGATGCTGGGTAAGGCCCTTGGTTTGGCAGGGGTGTAACAATATCACTTGGCTTGTTTGGTGAGTAGGCATTAAAAAAATGCATGAAAGCTTTGAAATAGCACTCATAAGGTCTCAGACTTTGCTCAAGTCTTTTACAAAGTGCTGCTTTTTGAAAAATAAAACAGAAAAAAACCTCCTTTGTGTCTGTGGAAAAAAACAGCAGTGCAGAAGAATATTTGAAACTAGTCTTGTTTAGGGTAAACTTTGTGTAGGTGAGACCAACAGACAATAATGGCATGAGATGGTGGACCACAAAGACATCAAGTTCTGCCTACTCTACACTCTTGTTAATTTGAAGTGGAGCATGCACGTCAACTGATTGGCTTCCCTACAGAAGGAAGGTTGATTTTGTTCTGAAGATGGGATTTATTTTTTCAGGGATTCATCTCATTGAGAACTTAGGGTTCTTGATGGAAACTTATAATTGGAAAAGCCAGCAAGTATCAGACATAGCTACTTGGGGTTAACAGATGCCAGGATATGACAGAAGACTTGCATAATTCCTGGAGCTGCAGAGATACCCTGGTATCATCTCAAATGGCACCACACATGTAGAAAGGCATCTGAGAGGGCTGAATTAGCTTTAGATTCAGAAATGTGTGGATCTGGCTTCATGTCTGCTATCTGCCAAAGCTCCCATGTGAGGCAAAAAATGGATGTTGGATCTAGAACAGACTGAAAGGAGAATTATCCACTTCTCCACAGATTGCTGATCAGATTGTCATTGGCTCAAAGCTGTACTTTGAAACTTGATTTTCATGTATTTGGCTACAAGGAGATGTATACATTTACTAGGCAGAGATGTTTAGAGTAATTTTTAGAGTAATTTAGATGCAAGGTCCTTGACCCCAGCTGTCACCTCAGTAAAAAAAAAGTCACTTGTAATACCTGTGGAAATGTGTCTACTGGATCTTCAAAACTATTGTAAAATTCATATTCATAGGCAAATTCTGCTAGAAGTAAGTTCTCTATTGCCAGGAGACTACCCTGTCTCTATAATCAATGGAGAGAAAAAGACATCTCTAATGATTCATTTAATCTTACAGGATGTTTGAGACACTTGCCCTGTCCTCACCAACCACAGGGCTGGACAAGACTGGATGACAATTCTGAAACAGGCAGTTGGTAAAACCAAATGCAAAATGAAACAAACCCAAAAGATAAAAGCAATATCCAAGTGCTTCATAGGTCTTGGACTCAATCTTATTGTCAGCAAAATCAATAACTGACTTCATTAGGAAAAGATTCATAACCCATCACCATAGTGAAACAATATGATATATTGATTGCTCCTCACCCAATATGTGAAATATGTGATCAGCTAAATGCTAATATAGACAAAGATCTCATTAAAATAAGGGTTTGAATTACATTGTAAAAATTGAGCAATTGATAAATAGGATGAGTTAAGTCTAGCTAGATCAGGTTAAAATAAAGCTGAGAGAAAGCATCTTATTTTTGTAGTCTGGTTGCATTTTAACTTAAATATCAGGGGCATCTCATGACTGAACATTCTCTGATAACCACACAGCTCTGTATGTCTCATTTTTACAGTTATATTTGCCCAGGTGGTAATTCTGGCTTAGCCCATATGAGTTAAAAATAAGTCTTTTATTTGGCTTTTTCAGTGCAGACATAACCTAAGTGTGGAGCCATGGCAAGAACAAGAAGAAATAAAACCAGTGTACATTTTAAAAATTGACCCAAAATACTCACACTGTCTTTAGTAAGTGAATATGAACAGGTGAAATACTAACTGCTAGTTACATAGGTAACTTAGGATTAAAGTTTTATTTCCAAAAGAGAAATGGGACTCAATTTTCTAAGATATTTAAATGTCTTGTAGTATATTAGAACATTCCACAGCAAGGCAGACACAGAAATTAATTTGAGTTAAATGCTCACTTTGTTTAGTCACTTAAGCATTGATCCACATCCTCAAGAGTCTAAATTCCTTGTAAAGGCTATCCTTCACCCAGGTGGCAGCCAAGTTAGCTGGAGTGAGCTAACTGACATCCAGCCTCCCTTTGTTTTCTAAAGCCAGGCACTGGCATTCACAGAGTCCTTCTGGGCATCCAGCTCAGACTGCATGACTAAATAGCTTTATTGGTCAAGTCTTTTCTGGAAAACAGGAATTTGCAGTGCTGAAATCCATACCTAAGATACTTCATAATTTCATAGCTTGCCTAACAATAATAATTTTCATTTCGTAGGTTACATATCATATCACCAAGAGGAAAAAAGAAGAGACAGTAACCTTCTACCAGTCCCTTACTTTCATTATGAAACTTGTCTAGGGAAAGGAAGAAAATGCAAACTGCCTGCAAACAACTCTTTGACTGTCGCAGGTTTTTCACTGAAATGAAATCTGAAAATTTATGCATAAAAAGTATTATCCCCTGGCTTTACTTAAAAATATTATCTAGGATGACAGCTAAAAGGAAAAGTGAAAACAGCCCATTTAAAAAGAAACATTAACAAAACCAGCAGAAATGGCTTGAAATAGATGGGAAAAAAGTTCTAATTTGAACTAAGGAAAATGAATTTTAGCTCTAGTAGATTTTTTCAAAACTGTATTTCTTTTATAAAAAAATATTAATTGCTTTTAACTGTATTGAAGGAAATCCAATTATGCACTCACTAAAGAAAGCATTAGAACAAAACAAAAAACAACAAGGAGTTTATATTTAGAGTACTTCATTTAGTATATTTTAGCTATCTTTAATAAGAATAATTTTGACATCCTGATTTAGAAGTCCATACAAACTTGTTTATTTGTTCAGCCCTGTAACATAAAAATCTTCCCATTTCAGTACATCCATCAGGTATAGATGCACATCTCTGTATACTTATGTATATATTCATATGAAGTCCTTTCTTTTTACAGATGCACCCCAACCTAGCTAAATTTTCAGTGTTTTGCCTTCCTATTCCATTCTTCATGTAGCCAATTAAGCACATTAGCACATCAGCGATGTCTCATACAGAGGCCATTTCAGAAAAGAAGACTCAAACACAGGCAGAGGCACCCATGACCTCTCCTTTTCCTCCCTTTTGCCATGCCAAACAAAGCAGCTTGATCTGCAAGAAGGAAAGAGAAAAGGGAATTGCTTTGACAGGATTTTACTGCCAAAGACAAAGCAACATAAAGAGAACCCAGCTACTCAATCCATCATTCCAATACTCATCACACAGACACACTGTCAAATAATTGTGTCACCCAAAGAGCCAGTGTGTGGCAAAATGGCTGCAGCTGACCATGGCTGAGGGAGAATGGCACCAAACTAGTTTCAAAATAGACAGCTTTATAAAATTGCTCAGGGAAGAGTTCTGGTTATAGGGCTGGCCTCATATTCCTCTTCACATAAGAATGATGTCACTCCAAGACTGCTTTCTCTTCCCTGAGTGCTCCAAAAGAAGTGGTAAAGAATCACCACATCCAAACATTTATTTATTTATTCTTCCTTTTCTGCTCTCTCCTCTCATAAAAAAAGAACTCAAACAAAAACCGAAATAAACACCTGCATACCTTTCCAATGGACTGCCTAGAAAAACAGCAGTTGTTGCAAGTGTAAGCTCATCTCTACTGTGGGCTACTACCTCATACTGGGATTCCTTAATTTTTAATCTTTGTAAAAAGGACCACTATGTGGAAACCCCAGGATGACTGCACAGGGTGTAGGGCAAAGAAGGAGATTTACCTGCACAATCAGTTGTCTCAAATTAAATCAGGAGTATTGCAATGAATAAGATTTTTTTTCCCCTTAACTTTAGGCTTCATTCTACCACCAGCAAATTCTACATCCTCTTTATAAGCCCTGCAAAGGCAGATGTCACATGGACACAACAGAGTGTTCAAAACCTCACTGGCTGGGACTCCTTCATTTCTTACCCTTAGGATGTTTGTGATTGAAAAGGAGGATTTTCATCCTCACACTGTAACCATGCAGCACAAGTAAAATGGGCAAAACTTGATTCTTCAGTAGAGTTCCCAATCAGGAAAGGACAAAACACTTTGAAAAAAAGTGAAGATTAATTTGGAGTATTTGGGATCTCTTTATTTCCCTAAGGTTCTTCCTTGTAAAGAAGGTTTATCAAATATTCATCTTTTTAAACATGACCTCAGACCTCTCTCTATTTAGTTTTGGAGAAGTTATTCCAATTTCTACAAACAGGAAATATCAATCAATCTTTCACACAGTTTTGGGAGGTTTCTTTGAGTAGTAGGACTTATTTTTTCTTTTTTTAGAAGAGCTGACAGAAGGTGTGAGTCATGTTTAAGATTAAACTATTTTGGTTTTTTTTCTCATCTATGTTCTTTTTCTTTTCCACAGGGGCAACAGCGTTTAACCTCAGTGTGTGATAATCCTCCATGTGGCATGAACAGGCATATGCTGCATTTCTAAAATTTCAGACAAATATAGAGCACCTAAGTCCTAGTAGCTTCCTAAACCCCTTGGAAATTCAAGCTACTATTTTCCATGCTTCAGCTAGGGTTATACTAGTGTATGCTGGGTCTACGTAGCCAGCCTTATGAGATGGAGGTGAAAGAGGTGCATGGGAATGATATTTATTGTTGATACATATATTGTTGGAAAAGTACTGAGAAGCCTAAAAGTTACAGTAAAAGGACAGGAGGTTGGGGGAAGGAGCTTAATGAGGACGGTTGTATTTTCCTTTATGTCATACCAGCTTTTCAACTGGTACAAATTAATTTAACACCATTTAAATCAATAGACAATATATCAATTAGTAACATTTGAGAATTTGGCTGGTTCTTTATGATTGTTGTAAATGAGCCCGTGAAATAAATCAGCTGTTTTGATCTCATTCTTTCCCTCTATCCTGTCCCAGTATCTGCAGAGCTATGTGTTCAACTACTTTACCTGTGCTCCACATAGTCCAGCTCTAGTGTAAAAGCAATGACTTAAATGGCTCCAGAGAAAAAATAACAACAAATAAATGTAAAGACTTTGAAACATCCAAGAACTGACAGCAGAAACCAGGTGTGCATGTGGATCTTATTTTGTGTAGGATGGGATAACAGGTCTCTTGAGCTGCAGAAGTAAACTGTGATTGCCAGGTTCTTGTGCAGAGAATGAGGCACTGTGACTGTTCTCAGTGTTTCCTGTGCAGGGCGGTCTTTTCCAAATGAAAAAGAAGCTAGCAAAAAATGAGCGTTAAAAACAAAAAAAAAAAAAATTCAAAAAGAAAAAAGGAAGGGAGAAAGGAATAAAGAAAGGGAGATTAGGGGAGGAAGAGTAAGAAGAAATTGCATTGTCCATCAGATAAAATATTCCCGTTTGCACTCGCTCACTGTGTTTTGCAAGTCAATGTCAGCTTTAAAGGAGCTCTCAAGGTTTTCTGGGTATTCCTTCTCCTTTTTCTGGCTATTTCGATGTGCTTGTTTGTGTTGATAGAGGAATCTGCTCATGATGGCAATGATACAAAAGATGATGAATATCACAACTGCTATTACGCCTGTAAAGGGGTAAAAAAGGAAGGATAGAAAGAGTGAAAACCAATACAAAGGCTCAGTTACCTCAAAAATGCATTTACCAATGCACAGCAGGTATGATAGATCAGTTCATCTCAGTCCATACACAGCCATATGCCTCTAGCAAACCCTCTCTGGTAGTTTTTATTTCTATTTTGTCACCTTAAGAACTCTAAAAATAGAGCATATATTGATACAATTGACCTAATTTCTGTAAAATTATGCTTTCACTGGAAATACAGTTCGTTCAGTGTGTTTGCTTTTAAACACTAGATCTGCTCATATAAATTTCTGCTCTGTCATATTTTCTTCTGTGTTATCTCTGGGAACCTTGCACAAGTCTTGTACACTTGGGTTTATAGCTTCTAGATATTATCAAAGGCAGCTCACTACAGGGTATGCTATAAAATAATCAAACAGAGATAAATTGTCTTCTAGGCCATTACAGGAAAATTAAAATCACACATGAAATTATGAGGACAATGTTCCCCAGTATATAAATACTTCCATATGACCTGGTGAGTTCCACTACACCACCAGATTACAAAGAGAGAGCTCTGGAAATATGAGATATGTGAATGCTCTGCAAAGTATTCACCAGGGTGGTGTATAAAAAAATGGCTACTTAGCTGGGTCTTAGAAAACAGACTCAGATGGAATCAGAGAACACCTGGAACATCTGGAGATCATCTTGTCCAGATCCCCTGCTCCAGCAGGCAGGCAGACAGAGTTCAGTTGTATTTTAGAAGACTCAGGTTCCTCTTGATCCATGCGTGACCACAATAATCAATAACGCAGTTGCCTACCTAAGTAGCTTGACACAGATACGTGCTAATAAACAGAGCAGATACTTCACCTGCTTCAGAACACAAAAAAAACCCAAAACCCTTGGACTAGATTTCATGGAGCCCACATTTAAAGTCTCCTAGATTTTTGCCTTGACAGAATTATGTTTTGAATGTAGACTTTAAAAATGAAGTTACCTCCAATCACAGCTGAATCACTTCTGACTGCATTGGTGAGAGGTTCTCTTTCATCTGTCTTCCCAAAAGGATCTGCAGTTGGTTAAACAAAAGAGAACTTATTTTCTATACCCACTGTTCATTTTCTCTGTGGCTTAGACAGAAGTGGCCTCTTACTCTCATGAGTTCTATCTGTTTTCAGAAGATGTAATTTGGGGAATTGGAGAACTGAACCAGAAGGGTCTGAAAAATAAAGTGAGTTTGCAGAACAATCTTCTTCTACACCTTCAGGAGCAAATTCTATTAAGAGCATATTTAAAAGGAAACAGAGTTTCACACTAACAGCTGAAAGTGTTGTTTCAGTTCATCAGAAGAATCAGAGAGACATTTTAACTAAACAGCCTCTTGGGAGCTTTCCTCAGTCAGAGATGTATTATTATCTTTTTTGTTGTTACCTAAGAAATGATATCAGAAAGAAGGCAAAAGAAAGGGATGCTAGGCAGATTTAGATCTGACCTATGCTTGTAGATGAGATATACAACTTGAATTCAATCCCACGAAGAGCAGCAGTCTCTGCTTGGCACACCTCATCTACTACATTTGTGGGACTGGAATGGGAATAAAAATGCACTTTTACATACAAATATAGAATGCATAATAGAAAAGGTTAGCTGGAAAGGAAATCTGGGGGTTATTTAGCCTAATCTCAGGCCTCTGATCATAAACTCAACCAGGGCCAAATTTAAAATTAGATCACAGTTGGTAATAATTTTGTACACCATCAGTAGATTAATCTCACTTTATTTTTCAGTATACATGAGTTATATAAATAAAAACTAGTAATTTAGGGTGTTTTTAATTTATAAAATTATTTTATACCCTAAAATGGCTGTGAAAAATTAATAGTGTGACGCACTTCTTTTCACGAACTATAAGAGGAGAGCGTTCATTATTTCAGACTGAAGATGAGTTAACTTTCTGGATAATGGAAGTTTGGTGAGATATTTTTTAATCCATTCCTCAGCTGAAGACAGTGAATTCAGTGACAATTAAAAATTTACATCTGTTCTACAACAAAAATTTACATCTGTTCTACAACAGCTCTCTTGTACTAGAGAAAAAAATCACAACTGGTGCCAGTGCATGGCACTAGTCTAAAAGAGTAATGAAAAATTATTAACTATGTATGAAAAAGAATGAATTTAAATTTTTAAATTAAAAAATTACACAATAATTTGTGCCTAAAATATTATTTAAGATTGACACCTAATGTGATCAGCACTCCAGAATTTTTGGTTACCAGAATTTAAGCACTGAGAAGAAACTAGAACAAATGTTGAAGAGCAGTTTCAGAATGGAGACCGAGAGCCACAAGCCCCAAGAATTATATTTTGCCTGAAAAATAAAATCAGGATACAAGAAGAGGATGGTTTGTTACAATGCAGCAGATGGCCTGAAATTGCAGAGTCATCTCCACTGGGAACACAATACACTCTGAAGCCAAGGAATAGCAATACTGGGTCTAATCTAGGACCTCAACAGGACATCCTCCTCCTTCTAGATAAAACTGATGGCATTACAGCTTGATTCACTGAAGTTGGAAGCCCTGCTGAGGTCTCAATGCTCCCTATAAATCATCTGGTGCAAACCCCTACTCAAATCCAAGTCTCTTAGAGCAAGATTTTCAGAGCTGTATCCATTTGGGTTTTCAAAATATCCAAGCATGAAGACTTTGCAACCTCTCTGGACCTCACACCACTCTTCTTATCAAGTCTGTATCCTGTAGGATTCTTTCAAGCAGACCCAAGAGAAGGTCAGAGGTTGCAGTCATGCATTTCTGCCTTTTTTCCTTCCTCTGAGGATCCTCAACTTCACCATCTCATAGTTGCTACAACCAAGGCTGTTCTGGCACATCCCTAGCCACTCAGAGCTTGTTTGGAAATACCAGCTTCAGCACAATTAGCACAGTGAGACAGAACTTCACTCTTTAAGGTGCCTTTCAGAAGCAAAATCTTTTCTGTGTAGTTCCAGACTTATGGAAGTATCTGACTGTTTTTACTTTATATGCTTGAAGAGCTGCTCTCAGAGGACAGGCAGCTCAAGACTCCACCATTCACACAGCTGTTTACAGCAGTTTAATATTAAGAAAAAATATCATAGGAAAAGTCTATTATCTCTGTACCATCAATATAGAGTTCAAAATAACAAGATCTTTGCATGTGCCTCAGCAAGGAAGAAGGTGATCTGCAGATCTGTGTTAAATATCAAAACCACAGTAAATCACCTCCCATTTTGTGCTTCCTCATCAGAAGAAGTGTGTTCAGATAACTGTGTGAATGGATTTTATTCCATATCTGTCTGCGAGGAAACTTTTTTGAACACAAGTATTCCTTCCTGAAGGAAACAGCTTCAATTGTTTTCAAGTTACAAATATAGAAGGCTTTTTTCACATGCTTTAAGAGCTTTCCTAGTGGGATTTTTTGTTGTATCTGCACATTAGAATATTGACACAGACATGTACAGCCTTCTTTGAAGTTCTATTTTCTTCTCAGACATTCAATAATGAGAAATTGGAAGTGATGAATTGAGATATGAGCACTAAATTTGAAAGTTAATCCTTGACTCTGTTTTCTTTTTATTTCTTGAAATGTGTCCTTTGCATGTAAAAATGTAATGCTCAAGTACATCTATAGAAATTATAATTTGCTACAAATTGGAATTTTTTTTTAAACAAGAATCAACCACCCATTGCTTTTACTTTAGCAGATAAAGACATGAAGTCTTCAGAGCTCACTTGTTCTAAAGATCTTATTCAGGCTTTAATCAAATCCAGTGTGAATAGTGAGACTGGAATGTCAGATAATTCATCACATAGAGAGGAAATCATATTTTAGAGCACAGAGTGACAAGACAGGCCTGAGTTTTTATAATAATTCTGCATTTCTGATGCAACAGTGCTTAACCTTAACAATAGAGTGCAACTGATTGTATGCTTTAAATATTTAAGTTCAAATGCTACACTCTGCTCTGTGTTCTGCCCTGAAGTTCTGAGCCTCAGGTTTTACTGCTTTCTAAACTCCTTAGAAAAATTGTATCATTGAGGTGACAGATCACAGGGCGAAGAGTTCATATTTTCAGTATCATTGCCCATTCAGGACTCACAAGACACATTTGTCTGTGCATCGGAGCAGACACCTCAGACAACTCGAGGCAGTGAGAAGGAAGTGGGGGGCTGGGGAGGAGCACATGCACACTGGCAGCCACTCTCCAGAGTAATCAGCAGCCTTTTTCCCATGCAGAATGCTAATAGCATCATTTGTTTTCTGCTGAACATCTTAGGCAGAAACTGCAGGAAATGGGGATTTGATATAAGTACAAATGTGAAAGGAATTGTATTATGATTGAAAACAGAGTTTTATTAGTTATCAAAAAGGAGAAAGTAGCTTTATAGGTCAAGGGGCAAAAACCAGCCTTTAATTTGTACCCTTTTCTGGTCATTAAGAATTCTGCCACATCCACTGGTGACTAAAGCAGCAACTTGATAGTCCAGTCCCTGTTCATGGTGACAACACTTCCAGCTGCTCTCAGCTTCCTACTCTGCATACAAATTCACATATGCAAAATACTTCAGATTCCCAGAGGACAGCTTCAGGATTGCAAAAGATACACAAATGATGGGGATCATCTTGCTGGTATGCTCAAGTAGTGCTCCCTCTCTTTAGTCTAAGAGAATGAAGTACAAGCTTTCAGTGGAAGTCACACATGCCAAGAGGTTTGTACAAGAGTTTTTGCTCATTTCTGTTAGGGCAGGAACAAATTTGAATTGTTTTTTATATGACTTCTATTGCTTTATCACCACTAGAATACAGAATCTGTGTAACATTTAGGTTCTCCTTTGAGATCTGCAGCACTAGAATTATCTGGAGTGGATAGGAATGACAAATCAGGTGCATAACCAAACTTTTAAAGCTTTTCCACTACAGCCTAGGGACTTTTTTTGTTTGTTCTAGGCAGGCATGTTTTAGGCAATCCAAGGACTAAGCCTGAAAACATTTTTCAGAACAATGACTTTTAAAGGGATCTTGGATACTCCTGGTGCTCGTCCTCAACACTGCTGATTCTGAGAGAAAAGGGAACTTCCCAGTTCCACCATTCATACTCTCACAAATTGCATTACAGCAAACAGGAAGGAAATCTCCCTCTACAGTATCCTTTGAACTCCCCAATTCCCGCCCAGTAGGACATACCTGATGAGGAATATATTGTGGTTGCTGTGTTCACGTCAGCTTCCATCATGGATGCACAGTTGGATTCTGTCAAGGAGCCCTGGACAGTCACGGGAGCAATGCTGGGATGGCGTAAGGCAGCCTTCAGGGGAGAGATGTGGTTGTACTGGACAGAGGACAGGCAGCCAGTGAAACCATAGGCATTTGCCTTGGAGACTTCAGGGTCCAGGGACAAACTGTCTGCAATGCAACAGAAAAACACTCTGGCAATTGACTGTTTTAGGAAGGCATTAAGAAAATTAATCCTCTTTTGCCTTACCTACCCCTTTTACATCTACTATTCAATTTCAACTGTTCAGGTTCTCCTTCAGCAGCCTGCAAGTCCTCCCTGGCCTCACCCATGAGGTTCCCAAAGTCCTTTCTCTATTATGCTACTTACCTTGAATTGTCTTGCACATAAAAGCCTGCATTGCACTTTCTTCCTCATCCATTTTCTCTACTAATGGACAATATCTATCACATCATATCTACTAACCACAACAATAGCAACAAAAACAATAATAATAATACTAAGTAAAATAGCAACACTAAATATCATAGAATTCTGAGGCTGATATGCTAACTTGTTTTTTTCATCTGCTAACAGCATCAGTTGCATATACATGGATCATACCTCCAAGGCATTCTGCCTCCTCCACTCTTTGGATGAAAGACCCTGCTCTCTATTTTCTGTCCTAAAATGCTTTATGTGGCCTGTCGCTGAATGGCTTTTTACCTCAGCTTCTCATCCTCCTTTAAGAGTTTGCTATTCAACTTTTCTGAGGCACCTCTTCATGTTACTGTTACTGCTTTTTTACTATCAGAATTCCTAAGAATCTTCCTAGTTATTAGACAGGTTCTCACTCTACTAGCCCTATTTCACTAATAAAATAAAGATTAAAACTATACCTTTTCTTATCTAAATCATAACTAAAACATTATTTTCCGGCCTGTAGATAAAAGAGCACAAATAACTTATCTGTTGCTGTGTGTTCAGTTAAATTTCACAAAGAGAAAGCAAATCAAAGGCAAGGTTGTTTTTATATAATCATAGAGTGGTTTTGTTTGGAAGCAACCTTAAAGATCATCTCATTCCAACCCCCTGCCATGGGCAGGCACACCTCTCACTAGACCTGTCTGCTCAGGGCCCCATCCAAGCTGGCCTTGAGCACTTCCAGGGATGAGAATCCATAACTCTTTCAGGCAGCCTGTTCCAATGTTCCACCCTCACAGTAAAAAAATTTACTTCCAAAAGTTTTTATATCAAAGTTTTAATATCAAAGATTGTTTGGGAAAGTCAGGGAAGGACAGTGAGCCCATTTTCTATTTTCTCCAAACTCATATTATTTACTTTCCAGAAATTGAAATTCATGCTGCTCAGAGGTCTTCAAACCTGATGCGTTTTATATCTAGGTCAATCAAACAAGAAAAAGCCTACAAATGCACACAGATACAGTATCAAAACTTATTCAAAGTCTTAAAAAATACTTGCTAATGGAAAAAAAACAAAACCCAAACAAAAAAACAACCTTCAAGCATTAAAAGTTTTGGGAATACTTCCAATGGCATTGAGAAATAAGGTTTCCTAGCTTTTCAAGTTTTGTTTTCAAATCTTGAAGGAATAAGATGCAAAATTTTAAAATAAGGTCAATTTTTTCCATTATTTTTTAAATACAATGGTTCTACAAGTGGTCAGGATTTATGGAAAAAAAGGCCTTCATTCAAAGCTGAAATTGCTATTTAAATTATATAAACTTTTTTTTTTTTTGGTATAAGAAAAGACAGAGAAATCACAAAGCCAGCCCAAATCACACATTATTTTTGTGCTCAAGATCTGTGACTGTTATGCCATGCACCCAGAGGGAATTAGCTGAGAAAGATTTCTAATTACATTTGAGTGTCTTTGTGCAAGTATAACACAGAAGAGTGCGGCTGCTTCTCAGCAAAGCAAGGGACAGTACCAGCTTGCTCTCCCAGGGGCCTTACAGGAGAAATGCTCAGTTTGCAGAGCTGTCAGGGGCACAGCCTCTGAGCTGCAAGATGGGAAGGGAAACACTGAGGCTTTGTCACTGGAAAACCTGCAATCTTGCAGAAGTTCACATTTGCTCTTCTGAAAGTATGTAGGAATTGACTGCATTCAGATTTTTAATGAGATTTTGGCTGAGATGTTATGAAACAGACAAAGAATTGCTTCAAAGTTCCTGCAAGAAGGTTTGTATATACTAAAAGATGGATTTACCGTATTTGCCATCTTTGTTGAATTTATAAAACCCTTTGTAAACATTCCTACCCTCAGCCTTTATTGTTTTCTTAGCTCTGACACAAAAGGTGAATTGGTTGCTATCTTTTATAACCAGGCAATCTAAGTTGCTCTGTTCTACCCCAATGTGCAAAAAAGTAAAGGCTAAGAACTGATGTGTTCCTCTCTCACGGTACAGTAGTTTGAAAAGTCTAAGATTCAGTACTTTTGCAGGCATTTTTAAAAGTCACATCAAGGGCCAAATTCCATGAGCCTTTTGTCAAAGTAAGCTTTGCATGAATGAGAACTCAGAGATTTGTTGTTGAAAGACTTTGGAAAAAAAAATCAAAAGAACAAACCAAAAACAACCCCAGAGTCCTCTGGTAAAAATTCCACATGCACAGATATAGCTTGCTTTATCGTACAGCTTTGGTGTATGCCCAATGTCTGTCAGAAAGGAGGGTTTTCACTGTTCTCAACAAGAAAGCTGCACAACTTGGTTGTGAACAACTTTTGCTGCCCTCTGAATTCTTGAGAGGATAATGTAAATCTGTGATTATGACATGGTTAGCTTTATGAAAGGACACTCTGTGCTTCGGAGGTTTTGCATCACAATAAAATGTTTTTCCAAAAGGTGTTTTCACTACGTGACACAGTGCTCAGTGAGAAAAGGAACTCAGTGAAGTTCTGTGGTCTGTGCTGCAGCCAAGGTCATAAGAACCTTCAGTGGCCTTCCTCTGACCTGGCAGTGCTGGGAATCTTTCCACGCATTTCACTGGTCTGGAAAATCACACTGAATTGCTGCTGATGGCTTGGTTTGATCTTCTGACATTTTAGCATTTCATTTCTGTTCCCAGCACTGGAGAATAAGTTATTTTGGGTAATTTCTACATGGAGAATAAGAAGGCAATCTTTTTTAGCTTTTAGTAATTTAACTGCTCATTCTCCACAAATTAAGTTTACCCCTACATTAGGAAGTAATTTTTAAGCTTCATCTGTTGAGTTGTGCATAAGTTGGCCTGGCTTCTTGTTGGGTCCTGTAGATGAAGCTGTCTGCAATGTCACAGCTCAGCAAGCTTTATGTTTGTTTTCCATGTATTTACAATGGCTTTCCATGATAATGAGGATTAAGTCTAACATGTAGTTGTATTTTTTAAACTTTATAGATTGTATCTATATTATAGGTATCAACATAACTTATGTGCTGATTTATTCCTAGTCAGAAAATCAGACATCCTGTTCCCCTGCTGTTTCATTATACACCTCTGCCACATACAACAGACTTGTTTTAAGATTTTCGATAGAGCACTTTTAAGTCTTCATATCTCAGTAATGAAAAATTAATTTTCATCATGAACAGAATTCCACAAGAATTCTCCAGGACCAAGCATCAATCTGCTCAGTAATGAAACAGCAAATTGACACAGTAAATGATAACAAGAAGGATAGGTAACTGGAATCAAACACATATCAAAAGCGTTATTTTTGTGCAGGGAGAGTGGGTAAAATACCCCTTTTCTAAAGGTATCAATGTGTATATTAACATAACAAACATTTTTCAATTTTTTTTTTTTTATTTCTTTATAAACATTATTTTCATGTCACTTAGAAACTTAAACCTCATTTGCCAAGGTGCTGAACAGGACTGGCGAGATTACTTTTTGGACATTGTCACCAGATTTGAAGCCATGACCTTGAGATAAAAGACACTTGCGGTGTCCACACACTGCACCTGTCTCAGAAGAGATGACTACAAGGCACTGTGCAGGTACCTTGAAAAATGTGCTGCTGTGCCCATCAACAATCTCAGTAAACTTTGCTGACATTAATCATCCAGTTAGAAAGGGCAGAAAGTGTATCTTGGGTTAGCCTGGAACCCAAAAATATAACTTTGGAATAATCTCATTTCCTAGTGTGAGTCTGTCACAAAGACAGCAGAGTGAAAACCACAGAAGCTTTTCCTGGTTACAACTGAGGTCAACCAGTTTGACTCTTGCTTAATGAAAGGATGAATTTGAACAGGGGACAGGCTTCAGACATTCAATGCCCCTCCCAAGCACTTCTGAAAAAGCAAGGAGCAGCAGGAGTAAAGGCACTTCTTCCTATGAGTCTCCCCAGGAAAGAACAGAATGCCCAACCTTGCTCAATGAGCCTGGATTTGCAATTGAACAGTTTGTGCCAAATGTAATATTTAAGGATTTTTGTTTCATTAGGCTTTGCAGAGATAATTTAAGGCATGCATTTATTATGTTGTCTTAAAGACAGCTTATCGTTGAAAATGAGGCACTTGGAGTTGCAATGTGAAATTTGTTAACATGACATATTTGACATGTGAATCCTAATCTGTCACAACACAACCAGTCCTATGTGATTTTGCATGGGCTGAAAACATAATCTATAAAAAGAAGAAAATATGTAAGAAGATGGAGAGATGATGTACAAAAGCATACATTGATGTACAATATATGATTGTCCCAGAAGCAGACAGCTAAAATCGACTCAAGTAGCAAGAATTCAGTCTAAAAATAAAATTTCTGGGGAGAAGCAGATGACCTTGGACCCCTATTTAGGCAGCACTTTTTCATCAAGAAAACAGGTATTTAAGCATGGTGTTATGATCATAGGGTAAATTATATTGCTGGGGAAAATGTTGGAATAGATCTGGTCTCTTTTCAATAGAGACTTGATGGCATTGGCTTAGACCTTGAATTGTTTGGACTGCCTGGGGTAGCCAAAATTTTCTTAATTTAGGTGCTTGCCATATTGGTCTTTTATCTTATGCAGTAATTTCCATTTTCCTTAATGCTTTACTATGCTACTAGGAGGAAAACCAATGACTTTTAAAGGCACCCTAAAATTCACCTAAGAGATTTTTGTTCACAATATGGTCTAAGAAACAGGTATTTAGGTCAAAAAGAGTCTGAAGCAAAGAAATGAGCTTTGCAGTCACCAGAACAGTGCAGCCAAATCTCTTGCTGACATTGTTGTCTTGTTTAAACTGTAGATTGTGATATGGTAAGCTTAAAACCAGGAATGTCTTTCCATTAAAAAAAAAAAATAGAAGAAAAAACAGACTTAATCATTTTTCATAGCAACTCTCTAAAAGGAGGTCCTTCTTCATGGCAACTTTTGTATTTCAGAGTTAATGGCAATTTACCCCTTGTGATTTAAATATCCCATTATCATCTACCCCTATATAATATTCTTGGATGAACTGTTATGTGATCTCTTCAGTGTACAGATTCCATTTTCTCCTCATGAACTTTTAATAAGAAAAGCCATTGTAGAAATCATAAGAATTGTACTGCACCTACATAATGATTTTAATAAAATCACTTTCCAGATAAACTTTCTTTTATGTACACTTTATATCAAAGCTGAATGACTCAGTGGAAACTTGAGTGTGTTTTAGCTCAGGCTTTTAGAGATAAAAAATATCATGTTCCTGTGCTAGAATACACAATCATTTATGCTACCAGTGTGGGAAGGTCTGCTAATTGATCACTTTGAAGACACAAATAAATTAGCTCAACACTAATAGGTTCTAAAGAAATACCTGCAACCTTTTTCTTCAAAATCCTCTTGAATCCTTTCAGTGCTACCTTTTACTCTGGTATTTCTACACAACTACAATATTAAATTGCTCAGACACAAATACACAAACAATGAAATTCACTTCTCTGCATCAGAGATCATTTTTCCCAAGGACAATAATGGTGAAAAATTTAGACATGTTGGGGCACAGTAAAAACTTTTCAAGGACTTATTAAAGTAAACCCACAAACAAATAAATTATATTTTCCACTGGGATAGCAGCTTTTTGTAGACAACACCTAAACACATGCAAATGTGTCTCTGAGATCAGAGAATTAGAAAATAATTGAAGTTCAAAGACACCTCTGAAGGTCATGCAGTTCAATCCCTTGTTCAAAGCAGAGCCAGCCTCACAGTTAGGTCAGAATGTTCATGTGGTTAAATACAGCAGCATGATCTCTGCAAGGAGCACTTAAAGTAAATGAACTGGGACTCTGGTTAAAATTTCACTGAGGCTTTGCCATAAACTGTATGACCCACTAGGGGCCTGAATCCAGTGCTCACTAAAGTCCATGGAAAAACTCCCATTGATACCGATAAGCTTTGGATAGGTCCTTTTGTGTCCTGACTATATTTGTGAAGTAAAAATGACAACAAACTACAGGATAATAATATTTTTCTATTGCTGTTGGGTGCAGTGAGGATGAACTCAACAGACGTCGGCTGGCTACTTGAATGATGCTTCCTTTTACTCCCTTGTCTTCAAAGCCACACTTATATTTAGATTGATCTTTCCAAGGCAGCTATATGGTCCCATTACTGTGTATCTGAAGAGCTCACAGCCTTTAATGCTTTTATCCTCCCAGCACCCCTCTGATACAGTGCTGTTCTATTATCTATGCTTTACTGATAGAGAAGGGAGATAGTAAAGCTCAGACTGGTTCCAGTGGGAATAAAATGCCTGCTTACCTTTATATCTGCACATAAATGGCTTACCCAAGGTCATTCAAGTAGTCTGTGGCAGAGTGAGTGTCCCTACATTTTGAATTCCAGGTGAAACTCCTCTGCCTGAAACAGAGGGATTTTTTTTTCCCAGAATTCACAGCTGTGAATAAGACACCCATTGGAAAAAAACATAGCCAGTTTGAAAAGGAGAAAAAGATATTCAAGTGTAAGTAGCTAAAGAAAGTGTAATGGAGATGGGGTGGGGAGGGGTAGAAACAGGGGAAACACTATTATTTTAAAAACTGGTCATTTTATAAAAGTGCACTTTTCAAAATTTCTAGCTGTGCTGAAATGGCTATCATAAGAAAATCTGGTGAGGAAGGAGTTTCAAGCTTTCATGATGTCCTGCTGGAAGACCTCTTTGAGATTTCCCAGTCAGTGGAAAATTAATGGTGAAGTCAAAAAAGAAGGTGGTGTCTGATTAGGCAGCCAGGATCAGGCTTTTAGAGCAGACAAATGATCAGTGGTGTGACAGGAAAGAAGAGAGACAGATTTTCAGAAGATTATAGTATGGATATGTAGGACATATACAACAGAGTTTTTTTACATGGTTCTCTTTCAGTGGACACTTAAATTTCCTAATGAATGCCTTTAGGTGTGTAATCCCAGTGGCATCCAAATTAAACACTACAGGAAGTCTAGGTCTACTCCAAAGCATCACATGCCTCTGAAGTTTATGTTTTGCTGAGGGTATGAGCAATGAGAAGGAAAAACTTGGCAGATACTGGTTTAAGTCACCCGTATTCACCTGATGAGCCATCATTAAAAGAAGCTGTAGTCAACATTTTATCCATACAACAGGATAAAAAATGATTTAACATACTTATGTAAGTTCCACAGTCCCTAATAACAATGTCTAGCTCTCCTCTTTGTACAACAAAGCAATACAATTAACATTGTAGCAGTAGGAATTTCTGGTTTGGTTTTGTTTCTTTCCATCATGGAGTAGTGTGCAACCTGAGTAAGTTTGGAGAGGATAGAAAATGGTAGAGAGCAGTTGGTAGACCAGATGGTTATGTCACCATTCAGAGGGATGTTGACAAGCTGGTGGAATGAGAAAACAAGAACTGCATTTCAGCAAAGGAAATGTGAAGATCTGCACTTGGGTTAGGACAATCCCCACCCAGCAGCACTGGTTTGGGGCTGAGCAGCTGGTGAGGCTTTGCAGAGAAAGACAGCTTCCCAGTGGGAGGGAAGCATGGACTTACTGGAGTGAGTTCAGTGAAGGGCTGCAAAGATGATTTAGGGACCAGAGCATCTCTCCTGTGAAGAGAGGATTGATAGAGCTGGGAGTGTTTATCCTGGAGGGAGAGGACTGAGGAAGGTCTGTGATTTTCTGAGGGCACAAGGACTTACTCAGCATAGCTACAGCTGTGGGATAAAACCTGGAAAATTAAATCCTAATACAGAAGAAACAGTTTGTGGAAATTCACTTAACATATGAAAAAGAAACTGGAATTAGAATTAGGCTGGAATTAAAGCGACTTGCTGGGATGCATTGTGCCATTTCCAGTATGGCAATAGTATTTCACCACCTGGATGGCCAAGTTTATGGCTTTAGTGTCATTACAGAATATGAACTATTGCTATACCAAAACAAAACTCTAATAAACTTTGGGGCAAGAGAGAAATAAAAGAAGGATAAAAGTCGGTGGTGTTCAGTGGAACTAAATGCCTGACCTTTGGAGATACACCTGGGCTTTTTGGCTTTGCAACAATTTGCACTTGTGAAGTTAATCATATTTTTGTAACTAAATCTAGTTTCTCTCCATTATGCTGAGCTGCACCATGTCAGCTTGCTGGCTACGTTTTTGAAGGTCTTTGTGCTACCTTCCATCTTTCTGGTTAAAATTCCTTGCTTTATTGATTTGGTGTCTACAGAGTTTTAGGTAGAGGTCAGGATTAGTAATGTTCTTTTAGATTTTTAGCACTACAGCTAAACCTTGACAAAGTTGGAATTTTAGCTTAGCTCTGAACTGGGCTGAAAACTGTCAGGTTCCCAAACTTGTCCACAAAGGCTTGGAAGACAGCTGCATTCTGAAAAAAACCCAACATTATATATAACTAAGGGGATAATCAGGTCCTGCTCTTAATCTACTTAATTAAAGGTGATGCAGAATGCTCTACTGTCATTCTACAGGGTTACACTGCACAAGCAGGCACCAGGGGATGTCTGTAGTGCCTGTCTAGCTGCCAGTCCCACAGGCCTCCTGTGCTAATAATGAAACATATAAAATTGCAGTGGTGACTCAGATGTCAGGCTTGATATGGAGATCCAATTTGAACAAAGGACTGAAATGTCTGTAAAGAAGGCTGTATTTAGAATCTTACTGGGAAAGAACAAGACCCTTATATAAAAGAATATGACATACTTGACAATAAAAAAAGAGCAGTTCCATTTTCCAAATTTCAGGCAGGGTTTTCCTGGTCTTGTAATGGCTTTGTAGTATGGACGAGTAAAGATCAAGAAGGTCCATGTACAGAACATGCAGAATTGTGGCCTAAGTGCTATATGCAATATTCCTTGCAGAATTCAAATGGAAAAAGACTGGCAGTGAAAAAAAGGGCAGAGAGGATGAAGGCTCCATTGTGCTGTTCTTATCATTAGGGAACAGAAATGGCTGGAGAGGAGGAAGCTGCAGTCAGCAAAATGGTATCATTAGGCGAAGATGCTGCCCTGTGCAGCCACAGAGGCTGTATGAATCACTTCACTGGAGGGAGCAGTTGGAACACTTAATATTGCTGTCGATGCAAACAAGTAAAGCTGCCAAAGTTTTGCGTTGATGGGATATATAAATAGAGTACTGGAATGCTCAGGCCAACTCTCCCAGCAAAAACCATCCAAACCCCCCAATTCCATCAAAAACCCAACACACAGCACAGACTAATTCCAGCACTGTAACATCTCATGAATCAGGAGTATATTTAGTAGAACCTACCTGTGACCTTGCCCAAGGTGAGTGACTTAATGGCCTTAAAATCAATCTCAGAAAAGTTGTGTTTGAGTTTGAGAACTTGATCAACCTGGAAAAGGTCAATAAAATTACTTCAGTACAACAGTACATGGATACCCCTAGATCTCATTGTACTGCAAACTTCTGGGAATGTTCTCAGCTGCCAATCTGTTAATTCTGCCCCCAAGCGTGATTCAGTTTCTAAAGATAGCAAAGTGGATGTGCTTTGATTTCAGCATGAGAAGCTGAAAGGTATACCAGAATAGTCATATAAAGGACTTTGAAGAAACTTCCCCTGCAGAAAAGCTTAAAATGTTTGACCCTGAAATCCCCCTTCCCAAAATCCATGTCTAGTCACTTCAAAATACACTCAAAGGAGGCCACTCTAGAAATGTATTGTGAAGAATTAGTTCTGCACAGAAGAAAACCACAGAGCAGCAGATAATAGAAGACTGGTACTTGAGGAAAACCTGGCTTTTAGCATAACCCTTCTTCTTAGATAATGAGGCCTACCCACTGTAGTTGTGTGATGTGTGTTTTTACCACCCAGAGATGGAAACTGTAGAGGAAAAAACCATGGAGTGCTGTGTGTTTCTATATTTTCATTCTATTCCTTAAGACACAACCTCTCTATAGACTCTGCTACCCTTCCTTGTTAAATGATTTTTGCCCAGATCTAGCCAACCTGTTTTGCAATATGGATGGCTATAATTAGCCTTAGAAGAAAAGAAGGAGCAGCATGATGGTCCTCTTCTCCCTGCCTTGGAAAAGCAGCTGGTGCAGGGGAACAAGGCAGAGGAGAGGTTTTGCCCCTCTGAGGTTGTCACACTCAGCCTGGCTTGCTTCTAGTTGCTAGGATGGAGCACTGCCATGTACATGGTGACTGCACCCTGCATTCCCTCAGCTTTTCCTTTCCTGTGAGAGGATAAGGCAGTCGGGGTCACTTTCTCCCTTGGGAAACATACCCTAACCAAAATTAAATTCCTCAGCTTTTTTCTCCCTTTTGCAGCTTTTCCATGATCCATACTGTGTGTTTCAATGGAGACTACAGATCACACAGACATTACTAAGCCCCAGAACCACTCCAGTGGTACAGATGAACTTCTGGCCAAAGGTGTTTCCTAATTCACAGTTTGTCAGAAACAAGGGAAGATCTTTCAATGGAAAAAACCACTGTTTGGCACTCTTTGAATAGGGTCCAGATGGAGCTCTGCTTGAAGCTACAGGGCTGTTCTGCTGCTGAATCAGTGTGAAACCTTTGTCTCCTGCCAGTGACCAGACATTGAGATCAGGGAGTCTGATTCCCGGAATTCATAAATCACACAATGGCTTGGGATGGAAGGACCTTAAAACCCATCTCGTTCCAGCCCTCTTGCTGTGCCCAGGGACACCACCCCCTGCCAGAGCAGGGTGCTCAGAGCCCCACCCAACCTGGCCTTGAACACTTCCAGAGATGGGAATCCACAACTTCTCTGGGCAACCTGTGGCAGTGTCTGTGGCCTGAGGTGTTATTTAACACTCAGCACAAGCCATGGCATACCTGAATGATGAGCTCTCTGCCCTCCCTGTTAATCTTCACACGGTGCAGCTCTCGGTTGGCAAAATTTCCAGATGCAATGGTGAAAATGAGGAGCCCATCCTTACTCAGGTTGTATCGGACCTGTAAGCTTCCTTAAAAGCAGAGAGAAATTGTACATATAAAACCTATGTCAGCTCAGTAACTTTACACAACAAAAACTAATTTTATTTTTATTACTATGGAGTAACAAGGTTAATAAGTCAAGAAAAAGGTCAAAAGAATTCAAGCTGTAATGAAAAGTGTGAAGAAAATAATGCACTGGAGGAGCTTTTCTTCCTACTGGGTTAAGAAACTGCTATGGAAACAGAACTTAATGAGTAACTAAGTATACCAAAGGTGAGTGTGTCTGTCTGCAGGTCAGACACTGAGCCCTGCCATAGCTGATCTACATCATCCTGCGAGGGATCACTTCCAGCAGAGGGCATGCAGGGCTTGCACTGCCCTGCTAAACTAATAATGCTGGGTTTTTATAATTTTTTTTTTCATCCAGATGTAACAGACAACACAGAAGAGACATGACAACTATAAGAATTATAACTTAATTCCAAACAGTTAGAGGTCTGTACTTACTTTATCATATGAAATAAAGAAGTACCTCTAACATATTTGAAGGAATTCATGTAATCCATATAAAAATGAACGCTAAACATGTCATTCAATCTTGCTATCAAAATAGCATCATGGCTTCTGATAAATACCAGTACCATACAAATCAAAATGCATAAGGAAATGAGGAATCCAGTATGAATTTTAATGCTTCAACAAATGACTACAGGGAATGTGTACAGATGATATAGATAGATATAGATGATATAGATATATAGACACATGGAGCTACATATGGCATATTCTAAAAGAAAAAGGATCTATTCTGGTAAAATCCTTTCAAGCACACTTTTCTGGGAATTAAGTAGCAGAGAAAAAAAATTCCGAAATTTCTGAACTCTTTTTATGCATCAGCAACCAAAATTCATGGGACTGTAGTACTATAGAGTTCAAAAGCTTTTCTTGTGCTATTTTTAACTGTCTCCAAGGAGAAAATAAATGCTGACAGCACCCCAACCCTGAGAAAGTCTCCTGAATTTATTCGCTGTTCTGAAAATTGTCAGGAATTTTTCCACCTCTACACACCTCACAGTGAAGCTGGTAGTCCTTCAAGATGGAATCCCTAGTCCAGTTAAGATAATTCCCCCTCCTTTTCCCTTGCCAGGATGTTTTCCTCCTAAGAGATGTACTTTAAAAAAAAAAAGCTTTACAAAATTCAGTACGTCCCAGATGAGCACTGACACTCTCTGGGACACTATCTAGGATAGAAAAAAAGCTTTCAAAATCAAGAGGGAAAATGAGAATGAACTACTAGAATGAAGGCTTTTTAGCTGATTGAGAAGTCTGCTGGACGTGGAGAAATTTTAAAGCGAAAATAAAAAAAAAAGTGATAAAAGACATTTAAATTCTCACACATATCTATGGACATTAGAGGGGAATTTGTGAAGACATTAAGGTCAGTAAAAACTGCTAAATTATTCAGTGTGGTATTACGGGTCCCAATTCAGCTGCCCCAAATAACAGTGAACAGCTCCCAGCCCTCATTGCATAGTGAGGGCAAGGAGGTGCTGTCTATCACCATGACTGCCACACTCAAAGGTCCAAACGTAAATCACCATCACATTATCTGGTACTGAGTGGAAGATGCATCAACAGGGATTAACAGTGTAAACATCCTAGAAACACTTTAGAAATACATGAGAAAAGAAGCCCAAGTGCAAGGAAGTTCTTCAGATTTGCTCTGGGCAGTGGGAGAGCTGATAGAAAATAGAAAGGTTGACTGACCCTGCGCACCACAGGCAAGATGACCACACAGAGCAAGCTAAAATAAACTAAAATATGATCCTCTAACAGACTGGTCCAAACTAAAAATCATGTCTCAGCAGAAGCTGTTTATAGGCTGCCTCTTACCTGGAGCCTTTGAAAGGGATGTAAAACAGAATGGAACAGGGTGTGGTCCGTGACCTTAAGTTGTAAATGTGAAAACAACTTCTCTGCTCTTTCTGAAGGCTATGAACACACATGTGTATAAAATTATAATTATGTATGCAGGTGTATGCAGCTGATCAACAACAACCAGCACATCTGTGTTCAAAGGGAGCCAGCATGACATGCAGTCTTTCCAGGCTCTCAGCTGCAGCAAACAGGGATTTACCCAATGACTTTGTCAAAGAAGCAGTGACTTTAAACCAGAAACCATCTGTTCCATTTTTTGGGAGACAATGGAGGAGGCTCTTGGCATCCATTGAGAACAGATCTTACTTTCTAAAGTGGTGCAATTTCACATTAAATCATGTAAAGAGATCGGTGAATGGAATTTTATTTTGTCAAATTGCTTTGAGTTCCAGTGGCAACTCTTTTTATGGACATCTGCTCTTCAAAACTATTGAATTAAAGTTGGCATTTTGCCTGGGGTCAAATATGTATTAATATAACCCAGAAGTACATGACCTTATCTACCAAGGTGCTTTTGAATTTTCATCATTGTAGATGAGAGCTAATTTTGCTTTGCATTCAATACTAGAACTTCTGTGTTCAGATTACAGAATAATTTTCCTGGCAGATTAAATTGCCATTTTATTACTTGACAAGCAAAATAAATGGATTGTTAATTAGGATTATTATTAAGAATTTTATTTTGTCCTTTGAATTTTGATTATCTGGTCCACTGACTTTCTCCATCACATCAGCCCAGTGTCAGTAACTGCAAATGGAAATCAGTGCATAAACCAGCTCTATTCTCCCTATTCTCTACTTTGCATCATTTTTGCCTCACAACAGGGGTTCACACTAATCATGAGCAGTGTAATTTCTGTCAGTCTTGTTGTAGTCGTGCCTGTCATCCTCTTTTCAGCTCTCCATGTCTGAGCATGCACACCTGGAGTCAAGCAATGCACATCCAGTTGAGTTCCTTCTCTAATGTACGTTGAATTGCTGGAGCAATTGTTAAGTCAATAAGGGAGAGAGAGAAAGGAAAAGAAAGATATCCTTCTTTTGGCCTCTGGCTGGAAAATTTTAGTGGGCCCATTACCCCAGCAGTATTAGGTAAGAGTAGATTCAGACATGATTATTGTAGTTACCCATCCCCTTCAGCTGTGAATTCTGCCCCTAGAGCAGCCTGAGAGCTGAGTTACTGAGCACGGCATGGCTTCCTTTCAGCATTCCCTGAGGAAATGATTCCATGTGGCTGCCATGCTGCTGGGATGAGACCACTGCCAGCGTCAAAGCTGGCTGGCTGCACATTGCTGTGGTCCTGTCTGCAACCTGCAACACTCAAATCCACGGCTGTAGGGCTGAATGACATCCCCCTGATGATATCAAACAGCTAAGAGCCATTTTAACAGGATTCCTGGGGGTTCCCTTGTGCAGAGGGGAGTACTGGGAAACAGCGACCAAAGGGCATGATTTATGCCATCCCATGCTGGTGACTAAGTCTGAGGTGGCTTTTCTGAAACAAAACACTCCCAGGACACTCTTTCAATGATGATGGAGGCCAGCACTTGTACTTGCTAGAAGAACACTAATGATCAGTGCCAGCATAACCAACCTCCAGGCAGCTACAGGAACAGCATGGTGCCTTCAAACTGCTTCTTTTTTTCTGAGGATAAGCTGCTGTAGCAGCTCTTATGTCTAGTGGTAATAAGGATACAAAACCGGTTAGAGATTTCAAAGTGTCTGAAGAACAAAAAAATATTCTCAGACTGCACAATGTGAAGAAATAGCGTGGCCATGGTGTTACATATTCTATGTCCCAAACCTGTGCTGATTGAACATGTCACCAGGAGAGCTGCCTTTCTTCTGTCTACAGCAGTGTCTGAGTGGAATGTCAGGAATAATCTGTTGGCTTTGTGGCCTATGCCCACCAACTTTACATTAATTCTGGACTGCCAAAGCTTGTGTTGAAAATCAGATAGTAATTTTAAAATCATCACCCAGAAAAGGGAAAATGTTACACAGAGTCTTCCAGCTCAGGAAAAGACTCCCTTGTTTGAAAGACCTCAGCAAGTGCTAGGATTTTGCAACAACATTAAAGCAGCTTTGCAGAAAAGAGAAATGGATCATCAGGAATTTGGTCTGTAAATCTATCATTCTTAAGTCAAATTCTTGTCACAAACGTCACCAGGACCACAGGTCTTGGGTCATTTCATCTTGAAGGACCAAACAGCAAGGAAGGGCATGGCATCTGTGTGAGTCTGAGACTTCTCTGCAGGACCTTTATTTATGGAAACCGGTTTTAAACGAGCCCAAATTGAACTCAACGACTCTCGCCAACTTCAACAGCACTTTTTAATGACTTAAACTGGCTGGAGCAGCTGGTGAGACATCTTGCTCTGCTCAGAGAAGCTGAGGTTAATTCAGGGAGCACATGTGGGTGGCACATGTAAAATGTACAAATTTATCACCACAGTGTAACATAATTTACACATTTAAACCAGGGCAGCTGACAACTCTGAGGTGGGGAAAATCTATATGTATGAAATAGTGAAACACTGCATTAGATGAAAGGGGATTGGACAACCCCTGCATGTCTTGCTGCCTCAGAGTCACCCAGAAAAGTGTATAGGAGTAACAAAACTTCTTACAGCTGTTTCAAATTGGCAGTCACTCTTGTTAGACTGCTACACTTTACTACTCCACTACATGCATTCTCCAGATTCACCCAGGCTGTCGCTGAAAGAGCAAATAATTAAGGAAAGCACAAATTAAGCAAAGGGTGAAATATATTAGTGAGGCTACTGATGTTGCAATTATGAAAAAAAAAATTAAAAAAATTAAAGTATTGGCTCAAAGTCCATTTGCAGCTCATGAGGTATAAATGTTTGCTCATTCCTGATTGCAGAACAACACATGACACTTTTCAGCCATCTCTGCCACAAAATACATCTCTGGGAATTTGCACAGTTTCAGTGTGGCAGTGTCCCTCTTCATAGCCTAGATATTTAAAAATGAACCACTGTTTTCCCAGTTAGGAGCAGCTGGCTTAGAAACATGTTCCTTAATTAGCAGCTTCTCCCCAGGGATATTTACTCAGTAAATTTACTCTCCA